ATCTGTGAAATGGGGATAATAATGGAACCTAGCTTATTGGCTGCTTGTGAGATGAGACCACCTAATGTATGCCCAGCAAGCACTTGATAAATGCTCATGACAATCATTCATATCATCATCACATCCTGCCTGCCTATCAGGAGATCAACTGCCCTGCTTTGCCCAGGACTGAGAGGTGCGGCTCAGGGCTTTCAGTGTTACCTATAAAGGACCAGGTGCGGTGTAATCCCAGCACTTTGGGATGCTGAGGTGGGCAGATCACAAGGTCAAGAGATCGAGACCATCCTGGCCAAGATGGTGAAATGCCATCTTTACCCGTGGCCGGCCACGGGCTGGGATGCTGCATCTCTTCCAGACCCTTCTGACTCTGACGTTATCAAGTAGTGGAAACTGGAGAAACTGAGGCTTAGTGAGGAAAAATGATTTAACTTAGTGCTCACAGGATGAAAGCCAGGACTGGACGAATGGTTTCTTCAGACTCCACCCAAAGTGACGCGACAACTCTGAAATAGTGGAGCCTCTGCTCAGTCTGACAGAGCTGGGGTCAAGACTCAGCTTGGCCAACTCAGGCCAGTTCTCTTTCCTTTTGGAGCCTCAATGTGCTCATCTGTTGAATGGGAGTAAAACACCAGGCACCTAGGACTAAGCTTCATCAGCATAGTGTACTTGAGACGCTTTCGTTCATTGTTTTAGAGATGGAGTCTCACTCTGCTGCCCAGGCTGGAGTGCAGTGGCTTGATCATAGCTCACTGCAGCCTCTAACTCCTGGGCTCAAGCGATCCCCCTGCCTCAACTTCCCAAGTAGCTAGTACTACAGGTGCATGCCACCATGTCTGGCTAAATTTCTTTTCTTTTTGGAAATGGAGTCTTGCTCTGTCACCCAGACTAGAGTGCAGTGGCATCATCTTGGCTCACTGCAACCTCCATCTCCCAAGTTCAAGTGATTTTCTGCCTCAGCCTCCTGAGTAGCTGGGACTACAGGTGTGCACCACCACACCCAGCTAATTGGTGTATTTTTAGTAGAGACAGAGTTTCACCATGTTAGCTAGGCTGGTCTCAAACTCCTGACCTCAGGCAATCCACCCACCTCAGGCTCCCAAAGTGCTGGGATTACAGGCGTGAGCCACTGTGCCCGGCCTGCCTTGCTAATTTTCCTAGAGATGGGTGCTCTGTGCCCAGGCTGCAGTGCAGTGATGCGATCTCGGCTCACTACAACCTCTGCCTCTCAGGTTCAAGCAGTTCTCCCATCTTAGCCCCCTGAGTAGTCGGAACTACAGATGCCCACCACTACGCCCAGCTAACGTTTGTATTTTTAGTAGAGACGAAGTTTCGCCATGTTGGCCAGGCTGGTCTCAAACTCCTGGCCTCAAGCGATCTGCCTGCCTCAGCCTCCCAAAGTGCTGGGATTACAGGCATGAACCACCACATCAGACCTTCTTATTTTTAGAGATAGGTTTTGCTCTGTTGCCCAGGCTGGTCTCAAACTCCTGGACTCAAGCTATCCTCCCACCTTGGCCTCCCAAAGCTCTCAGATTACAGACGTAAGCCACCAGGGATGGACAGTGACTTTTATGAGCTGGAATGCCCAACGTAGGTATGAAGTGTTGCTGCTGTCCACAGAAGTATGAGTGTGTTTGCTGTATCTCCTTGCCAATCTCAGCTTCGTGCCTGGATATGTTTCCATGTGTCCACACTTCCCGTCTGGGAATATGAACACCCAGAGGACTAAACCTGGGTCTGCTTATGTCCCGTCAAGTCCAGGGTAGAGGAGACCCTGGCTTAATGAGAACGTTGAATCAGGAGGGAGATGGAGGAGTTCCCGCCTCACCTGGAGCAGGCTCCTCTGTTTCAACTCCATAAACTGTGAAGGCGACAAAGCCCTTTCTGTATTTTGCAAGAGATACAGTTTGCAAATGATCTCATTACCCCCATAGCTTTGAGCGGAGTTATGCCGGGTCCTTTCTAACAAGTGGCAGTAAAACATTTTATAGGCCCCTCTGCCCCCCTCTCTCCCACCGTGTAATTTTCTCTGTTTGGGGTTGGACTTGGTGTTTTCCCTCTTTTCCTTCTCTTTCTCCTTGCACTTTCCCTCATGTTAATTATATTAGTTGTCATGGAAACAGTGATGTCATTGGCACGGGAGCGCTCAATGACATCCAAAAGCACAGTTTATAGCATGGCTCGAAATTTATTCCATGGCTTGAAGCCTTGGGGTGGGGGGGGCGAGTTATATGGCGATTATATCTCGGGCACCATCTGGGAATGAGGGTAGAAAGTGGCAAGAAAGTAGCTGGGTTGGGGGTTGCTTTGCCGCCTTCCCAGAACCCGCACTATTGGGGCCATTTACATTTGGAGAAGGTGGAGGACACTTTGTATGCAATGAAGAATCATTTCTTGGCTTCTCCCAACACTCACTCTCTTAGCAGCACCCTGTCACACATTCGTCCCCAATTTAGGATTTCAGAATCCTTCATGGAGTGGTGCTTAAAAGTGCTTAACACTGGTGTGTGTGTGTGTGTGTGTGTGTGTGTACGTGGTCCTGTGCCTAATGCACCAAAGCCATGCTGTTAGTATGAAAATATGATCTGCGGCATGCCATGCACGTTAGTTCACACATAGGGTTTGCATACACACACGCACCCTAATTTGCCCAACTGTACTTCATTTTAGAAGGTACGGTTGCATCCACATGGGTGATTTTTGCCATCCCTCCCGTCCCCCCAAGCCTCCCCACCACAGCTCACTTTTTAAGTGAGCTGCCTTTGCTGCAGCTGGAGGCACAGGGTGGAGGGGCGGACCATGCACAGAGGCGCTGGAACTATAGTTGAAGTTGGGGCACCCTGCACAAGGACACGTGCAGGCGTGGGCTCTCCGAGCTCACCCCCACACCGGGCTTTCCCGTTGCTCTTGGGAGGCCTGCGTGTCTAGACCCTAAAGTGAGAGGTACTGGGCAGCCCCCTGCTCCGCCCTGGGGGCCCGTCAATGCGTTTTCAGTTCCTGTGGTATCACCCCGAGCTTGGGGAGGGAGCTCGGCAAACCCAGTGTGCAGGGCTAAGCGAGGCACCAGGGGATCTCACGGATTCTGGAGGGTTCATGTCTGAGATGCGAAGAACCCAGGGCTCCACAGGAAGGAGGGCTCGGAAAGGCAGGGTGGGAAGACCAAGGAGCGCCGCGCACTGGCATGGGAGTCTGGGGCATGGGAGACTGAGGGGATGGAAGAAAAGCCAGCTCCCAATAGCTTCCGGGAAACAGAGTCTGAGTCCCGGAAGTGGGGAGCCCAAGGCAGAACTTCCGGCACTGCCTGCCCGCAGGCCTCAAATAGCGGCCTCTAGCCTCCCACTCCATCTCAGTCCCAGCTGTCTTTGATGTTGATTCCCAACAGGACGACTGCAGGGAGCGGCACCCAGGTTCACCTTTAAGCTCACCTTGTTTCCAAAAATGTCACTCGACCAAATGAAGTCACGTGCACAGCCACGAGCCATTGACCGCGCGCGGCCAGGGGTTGTGGCTTCATCTCAATGGCCAGGTTTGTGTCACGTGGCACCATGGAGCCCGTATGGAGAGGATGGCTAGGGCCCTGGGACTGAGGTGGGGATGGGGAGGAGGGGAGACGGGTGGTGAGTACAGGGGGGATTGTGGGACCTTGATGCTTATTTCTGCCCTCATCATTCTTAGGCTTTCCACCGAGGGAACTCATCCTTGCTCATTAGAACCTCTGGACCCAGGCGAGTTTCTGTTCTGCAGCAGCCCCATACTTAATCTAAGCCTGGGTTTTTCAACCTCAGACCTATCGGCATGAAGGACTGGAGGAGTCTTTGCTGTGGGAGGCTGTCATGTGTGGTAAGATGTTTAGTAGCATCTCTGGCCTCTATTAGATGCCACTACGAACCACTCCCCTTGCATTGTCTCAACAAAAATGACTCCAGGCATGGCCAAATGTCCTGCCTGGGTAGAGGAGGGGAGTGGGGTTAAAACCACCCCCGGCTGAGAACCACTGGTCTAAACCATCTCTTCTCCGGCTCCTTCCATCCACATTCCTCCCTGTCACTCTCATTTTCTGTCTTGCTAAAACCCTCCATGGCTCTAATCATTGTTATTAGATCACTTGAGGTCAGGAGTTTGAGAGCAGCCTGGCTAACATGGTGAAACCCCACCTCTACTAAAAATACAAAAATTAGTCAGGTGTGGTGGCGGTCACCTGTAGTCCCAGCTACTTGGGAGGCTGAGGCAGGAGAATCCTTTGAACCCAGGAGGTAGAGGTTGCAGTGAGCTGAGATCACGCCACTACACTCCAGCCTGGGCGACAGGCAACAGAGCAAGATAGTGTCTCAAAAAAAGAAAAGAAAGGAGAAAAAGAAAGAAAAAAGAAAAGAATCTCCAGACCCAGTACCCCTGAATAAACCATCGCCCCTGTGCTACCCCCAGATCCTGGCCAGTCTGCTGAACCAGAGATAGGAGCCTCCAGTGGAGGAGGCCAGGGTGCTCCAGACACGGAGGGAAGTCTTGGGATAGCCATTCAGACGGGAACAAGGTCCCAGTGGGGGAGAAGGCGGCCAAGTGAAGAAAGGGGGCGGAGTGGGGCCAAGCAGTGGGAAAGGCGGGTGCAAAAGCTCAGTGGCATGAGAGGGTGTGGCTTAGGGACACGAAAACCCACAGACTCATAGTAATAACAACCTCTTAGCACTGGGCTAGGTTCTGTGTTGCTTTGTCATGAGCAATCTCACAGCAGCCCAGTGAGATAGGGGCTGGGAAATTAGTTAGTATATACACAAAGCACGTGTCCTAATCCCTGGCATGCAGAAAGCTCTATATAGGTGTTTGCTGTGATATTCGTGGTACTACTACTATTACTAATAGGGAGCCATGGAGGGTTTTAGAAAGACAGGAAATGAGAGTGACAGGGAGGAATGTGGATGGAAGGAGCAGGAGCAGAGATGGTTTAGACCAGTGGTTCTTAGCCAGGGGTGGTTTTAACCACAACCCCCACTGCTACCCCTGCAGGACATTTGGCCACACCTGGATGTCATTTTTATTGTGACAGTGCGAGGGGAGTGGCTCATAGTGGCATCTAATAGAGGCCAGAGATGCTACTAAACATGTTACAATACAGGTCATCACCCCAAGCAAAGAATCTCCCAGCCCCAAATGCCAATAGGTCTGAAGTTGAAAACCCACGTTTAGGCTGGGCTTGGTGGCTCATGCCTGTAATCCCAGCACTTTGGGAGGTCGAAGTGGGCAGATCACCTCAAGTCAGGAGTTCAAGACCAGTCTGGCCAACATGACGAAACCCCATCTCTACTAAAAATACAAAAATTAGCTGGGTGTGGTGGCGCATGCCTGTAATCCCAGCTACTCAGGAGGTTGAAGCAGGAGAATCATCGCTTGAACTTGGGAAACGGAGGTTGTAGTCAGCTGAGATCATGCCATTACACTCTAGCCTGGCCGACAGAGCAAGACACCATCTCAAAAAAAAAAAAACCACCCAGGTTTCACTTAAGTAGGGGGCCTGCTGCATAACAGAATGTGGGTTGTCAAAAGGAGGCTCTAAGCAGAACAAGGGCCCTGGGATGGCCAAAGGTTGGAAGGGCCTACTCCCCTCCCGTCCTCCTCCTGCCAAGTGGCCCCTCCCCTCCCAATTTGCAGTGCGTGCTGGGGGTGGGGAGGATGGTGGCAGAGAAGGCATGGGTGGGGCTGGCAGGGAGACGTGCTGGAAAGTGTACAGCCTCTGGCAGACAGTGGCCGGTGACCGTCTCTCCAGCTCCTGTATCATGGGCTCAACGTGTTCTTTGAATGGGGGCAGATATCCTCATTGGGGTCTGGCTTGCCTCATGGAACCCCCCACCCTGGAAATAGGGACCCCTCGCCACTCAGCTTGCAGATCTCAAAGCCCCAGTGGCAGGTTTGCCCTTCTTCAGTCCTCAAATTTCAAAATGTGATTTGTTTCAGTAACACGAGCACAGAGGGAAGGGAGAGGGGAAAGTGAGTGAGTAGGGAAAGAGAGAGAGCGAGTCAAAACCAGTGAGGGCGACCAGGACAGAGCCTGGGAGGGATGGACAGACTCAGCAGGAGAAAGAAAAATACAGACTGAGACAGAGAGAGAGACTGAGACGGAGCTGGAGAGGGACAAATGGAGAGTGGCGGAGAAACAGAAAACCAAATGAAAGAGAGCCAGACCGACTGAGAGTGGCAAAAAGAAACAGAAAGGGAGAAGGAGCAAAAGAGAGAAAGCTTGACAGCGGAAGGGCAGACTAAAAGCGTGCACTAGAGACATCTTTCCTGGCAAACTCATAGTCCACAGCCCACTAACTCTCCAGGGCTTCGCTGCATTTCAGCCACAGAACTGGGGACTTGGGAAAGTTTTCTCATCGCAGGTCCGGGACGAGCGAGCATTGTTCCCATTACTGCCGGTATTCTCTGCGAACTGGACATTAGCCAACAGGAAATTCCTGGACAAATCTTTCCACTCGGTCTTTTAAAACTTTAATTTTTTTTATTTTAATTTTTTTTTTCTTTAGGGACAAAAGAAAAAAAGATCAAGAGGCAAAAAAAAAAAAAAAGAAATGAACCACCTGGTGTAGGAAAAACATATCTAGCCACAGCCCCAGTCAGGCCAGGGGAAGCTGAGAATCCATTGTGCCCACCATGCCTCATTCTTCCCCTGGAAGGATTTATGACCTCACACTCCCATGACATCACAATGCGTTGCCATGGGTCCTACTTTATTATCATAAACAAAGCGCTTGTTCCTTGGGCCATTGCCTGTCTGAGCAGGAGGGGGAAAAAGGCTCTGGGTAATGTGTTTTCTTGGGAAGGCAGCTTGTTCAGAAGTCTGAAAAGCTGCAAAAATAGTTGTACATAAAGTTCCCTCCCTGTAGCCTCTGGACAGGGTTTGGGACGGAATGAGAAGGATGAAGTCAGCTCCCTACAGGAGGATCTCAGGCTCTGCGTGTTCTTACTGCCAAAAAGCAGCTTCCCCAGGCTTCCTTCGCTACTCCAAACAAGGTTTGTATCCATTCAGTGAAAATGCAGGGAGTACCTACTAGGTGCTAGACACTGACAGAGCTGGGGCAGGGATCAATGAAAAACACAGTGCCAGCCCCACCCCTTTGAGAATTTGTAAACGCTCAACAAGCCCACAACTAACATGAATGTGTAACATTGTAATTTGGTTAAGTGTGCTGAAGGAAGCAAGCAGGAAGCTAGGATGAGAATGGAGGGAAGAGGCTACTTACTTGAGTAATCTGGGAGGGCCTCTCTGAGGAGGTGACATTTTAGACAAGACCTGAAGAAGAAATCGGCTGTGAAGGGCAGAAGGAAGCGGCAGTAACTAAGGCAGGGCCAGCCACGCCAGGCAGAGTGACCGTCAGGTTCTAAGATCTCACCAGGGACCTCTTCCCACGTATTTTATAGAATTCCTGGGTAGCTGACTCAGATGAGAGGGCTTATTATGAGGAGTCATCGTCGTCATGAGTCTGAGCTGAGTAAAGCTTCCACACCCTGCCACAGCCATGCCAGAAAACCCTCATTTCTATTGCACAACTGTCGGGTTGGCACTTGAAAACAAGTCAGCCAAGAGCAGAAATACCTGTCGGACCCAGAGAGGGGGCTGTCCCCGGCATGAGTTCATTTTGCAGAAAGCAAATGATCCTCTTAAGCAGCAGGAAGGAGAGAAGGAGGGGAGGGGAGAGAAGCCTTGGGGACAGATTTGGGGGCACTGCCTGTGGGTCAGGAGGCCAGGTGAAGGACAGGTGGGCAAGCCGTCCCCAACCCTCGCAGGAGATGAACTGTGAGGGAGTTAGGACTCTGGATAAGGAATAGAAGGAGAGGCTGGATGCGGTGGCTCATGCCTGTAATCTTAGCACTTTGGGAGGCCCAGGCGGGTGGATCACGAGGTCAGGAGTTCAAGACCAGCCTGGCCAACGTGAAACCCCATCTCTACTAAAAATACAAGAATTAGCCAGGCGTGTGGTGGGTGCCTATAATCCCAGCTATTTGGGAGGCTGAGACATGAAAATTGCTTGAACCCGGGAGGCAAAGGTTGCAGTAAGCCAAGACCACGCCATTGCATTCCAGCTTGGGCAACAAGAGTGAGACTGTCTGAAAAAGAAAAAGAATAGAACAAGAGCTTCTAGATCATCTGGACAATGATGGGGACAGATGGGGACATGGAGGCCCCAGGTGGAGAAGGGCCTTCCCGGTACAGGAAGTTAGGCACAGGGCCCTACTGCTCACTTGCTGTGTGACCTTGGGAAGCTCACTTCACATCTCTGAGCCCCTGTTCCCACTGTAAAATGGAAAGAATGCACATAAGGCTCTTTGCATTGCTGCAATATAGAGAGAGGGTTGCTTTTAAACCATGCTGACTTTTCTTCATTAGTTCATTTCATATGTCAGGTGCCCCTGACAGGTGAATGTGGCTGTCCATGATTTACAGATGAGGAAACTGAGGCCAGGAGGGGTTGAGTAACACACTCGAGGTTCCACAGCCAGGTATAAGGACCAGATCCCCACCCTACCTGCCTGACTTTTAAATAGAGCCTGTGTTGCCAATGATGGAAGCTTGGCCTTGTCCTGGGATGCATGGCCCTGTGTATGTAATTGGTGCTGACTCTGTGACACAGAGCTAGGGTGGAGACAAGGCTGCAGAGATGAGATGCACAGCTTGCCGACCAGCAGTGACGGGGTGCCAGAGACCCACAGGCCCGAAGAGACACCAGGACGTGGGAGAGAAGAGAGGACTCCGTTCCATTCCGTGTGCTGAGTGATATGTCCAGATGTTATTTCTTTTGTTTGTTTCTGACAGAATCTCTCTCTGTCATCCAGGCTGGAGTGCAGCGGCATGATTTTGGGTCACTGTAACCCCCACCTCCAGGATTCAAGCAATTCTCCTGCCTCAGCCTCCCGAATAGCTAGGATTACCGACACGCACCACTATGCCCGGCTAATTTTTGTATTTTCAGTAGAGATGGGATTTCACAATGTTGACCAGGCTGGTCCTGAACTCCTGGCCTTAAGTGATCTGCTCGCCTCGACCTCCCAAAGTGCTGGGATTACAGGTATGAGCCACCGCACCCCATGATTCTCATTTTTATGTCAGATGCACATCTTAGGTTTCCGAGATCAGAGGAAGGAAGACTCAGTAGGAACACCAGGAATTCAGCTACAGCCATCTGGATGACAGAAAAAGCACCTGGATGAGAAATTAGGAATGGGCAGGCCATTAGACCAGGAGCCAGGCTCCTCAGGTTCTAGAGAAGTGCTGGGTTGAATTTCTGTCTCTTCCTGGGCCAGGCACTTAACTGCCCTTGCTTTATAAGTCTCACCACAGCCTATAAGTTGTTGTTTTTTTTTTTTTGAGACCGAGTCTCGCTTTGTTGCCTAGGCTGAAGTGCAGTGGCACGATCTTGGCTCACTGCAACCTCCACCTCCCAGGTTCAAGTCATTCTCGTGCCTCAACTTCCTGAGTAGCTGGGATTACAGTTTCCCACCACCAGGCCCTGCTAATTCTTGTATTTTTAGTAGAGAGAGGGTTTGACCTTGTTGGCTGGGCTGGTCTCAAACTCCTGACCTCAAGTGATCCGCTCGCCTTGGCCTCCCAAAGTGCTGAGATTACAGGTGTGAGCCACGGGGCCCAGCCCTATAAGGTGGTATTATATTCCACTTTATGGATGTCAGAACTGAGCCCCAGAAAGATTCCAGTCCTAAGCCCGGAATGCCTGCAGTCCCAACATTTTAAGAGGCGGAGACAAGAGGATAACTTGAGACCAGGAGTTCAAGACCAGCCTGAGCAACATAGTGAGACTCCATCTCTACCAAAAAATAAATTAAAATAATTTTAATTTTAAAAATTAAAAATCAGCTGGGCATGGTGGTATGCAGCTGCGGTCCTACATATTCAGGAGGCTAAAGTGGGAGGAACTCTTGAGCTAGGGAGGTCAAGGTTGCACTGAGCCATGATCACACCACTGCACTCCAGCCTGGGCACCAGAGCAAGACCTCCATCTGAAAAAAAAAAAAAAAAACATTTAAAAAAACCCTCCAGTCCTAGCCATGTGCCTCAACATAGAAATACGATCTTTCTGTGCCCGAATTTTCTCTTAATTAGAAATAAAAGGATTAGTGTAAATCAGGGATCAGTAAACTTTTTTGTAAAGCTTGAGACAGAAAATATTTTAGGCTTTGCATATTGTATCATGTTTGTTGCAACTACTCAACTCTGCTGTTGTAAAAGCAACCATAGACGATATGTAAATGACAAATGAGTGTGAGTGTTCCAATAAAACTTTATTTGCAAAACAGGTGGAGGCACTTCACCCACTTAGATTATATGACTATAATCTAAGAATCATCATAAGTGTTGGCAAAGATGTGGAGAAACCACAGATTGCTAGTAAGAATGTAAAATGGTCTGAGTGCAGTGGCTCACACTTGTAATCCCAGCACTTTGGGAGGCCAAGGCGGTGACCTCACTTGAGGTCAGGAGTTCAAGACCAGCCTGGCCAACATAGGGAAACCCCATCTCTACTAAAAATACAAAAATTAGCTGGGCATGGTGGCAGGTGCCTGTAATCCCAGCTACTCAGGAGGCTGAGGCAGGAGAATTGCCTGAACCCAGGAGGCGGAGGTTGCAGTGAGCCGAGATCCGGCCATTGCACTCCAGCCTGGGTAACAAGAGAGAAACTCCGTCTCAAAAAAAAAAAAAAAGAATCACTTGAACCTGGGAGGCAGAGGTTGCAGTGAGCTGCGATCACACCACTGCACTCCAAGCTGGGCAATAGAGGAAGACTCTGTCAAAAACAAAAAATAAAAAAAGATAAGATAAAAAAGAATGTAAAATGATGCAGCCACTCAGAAAAACACCAGAGGTCCTATGTCTTCCACAGGTGATTGGTATTTCCTCAAATGAGTAAACACAGAGTTGTCATATGACCTGGTAATCTCACTCCTAGGTATATATGCAAGAGGACAGGGAACATATGTCCACACAAAAACTTGTTCGTGAATGTTCATGGTGGCATGACTCATAACAGCCAAAATGTGCAAGCAGCCCAAATGTACCTCGGCTGGATGAACTGATAAGCAAAATATGGCACATCAACAGAAGGGAATATTATTTAGCCATAAAAAGCAATGAAGTAGTGATACAGGCTACAACATCTAGAATAATCATCTAGAACCTTGAGATTGCACTAAGTGAAAGAAGCTAAACACCACATATTAGATAATCCCTTTTATATGAAATGTCCACAATAGACAATAGACAAATCCATAGAGAAAGGAATTAAATTAATGGTTTCTGGGGGCCGGAGTTGGAATAATCAGGACACAGAGTTTCTTTTTGAAGTGATGAAAGTGTTCTAAAATTGACTGTGGTGATGGTTGCACACGTCTATAAATCTAAAAATCATTGAATTGTATACTTTAAATAGATGAATGTTATGGCATATGAATCACATCTCAAAAAAGCTATTACAAAAAATTTCATTTACCGATAAAGCAAAAAAGGACTTGAGGGAAATTTTGGGGGTGGATAGAAGCGTTCCAAAAAATAATTTTGGTGCTGGTTTGCATGACTGTATATATTTACTACAACAGATCAAATCATATACTTTAAATGGACAAATTTGACACTATGTAATTTATATCTCAATACGATTCTTAAAGAAGAAGGGGAAAAAAATAGATGTTGGATTGGATTTGGCTCACAAGCCGTGGTTTGCTGACCCCTAGTCTAAATGATGAGCACACCAGGACTCTTTATAAGTAGGCACTGCTCCAACTGGAGCTGGTTTAGGCAAAATGAGGAATGCACTGGCACACACAACTGAAAAATCTAGAGAATAGGTGGTATGTTTGCCAGAGTCCTCCAGAGAAAGAGAACCGATAATATATGCTTATATACACTGAAGAATTGGCTCATGCAATTGGGGGCTCAGAAGTACCACAGTCTGCCATCAGCAAGCTGAAGGCCCAGGAAAGCCGTGGTGTCAATCAGCCTCAGTCTGAAGACCTGAGAACCAGAGAAGTCTATGATGTCAATACCAGTCCAAGATCAGGAAAAGGTAAGATAAAGTGTCCCAGCTCAAACACTGAGGCAGGGGGAAGAAAAAGTAAGTGCATTCTCCCTCTGCCTTTTGATTTATTCAGGATTGGACAGTGTCCGGCCACACGGGAAAAGGCAGTCTACTTGTACTGAATCCACAGATTCAAATGCTAATCTCACCTAGAAACAATGTTCAGTCTGGGCACCCTGTGGCCCATTCAAGTTGATGTATATAATTAACCATCATGGTTGGCTTCAGGCCCTGTGGAATCTAGGGGTGCAAATATCACCAGAACCTGGCCTTTTTTCCAGACTGCTTCCATTCCTATCCCCACAAAATGGCTGCCAGAAGGCCCAGTCCCATTTTCTCAGCTTCAAATTCAGTAGAAAAGATTGGAGAGCCTTTTCCAAAGGTTGTTGCAAGAATACTTGCATCTCATTGGCTCTGACTGGACCACAGGCCCATCTCTGATCCAATCCCTGTGGCCAGGAAAGTGCAGTGTTCTGATTGGCCAATCCTGAGTCACATGGCACCCCCAGAGCTGAAGTATGCCTGTTTTTGTTTTATTCTGTTTTTTCTTCAGACAGAGTCTCACTCTGTCTCCCAGGCTGGACCTCAGTGATGTGATCTTGGCTCACTGCAACCTCAGCCTCCCTCATTCAAATGATTATCCTGCCTCAGACACCTGAGTAGCTGGGATTGCAGGTGCGCACCATCACACGTGGCTAATTTTTGAATTTTTAGTAGAGTTGGGATTTCACTATGTTGGCCAGGCTGATTTTGAAATCCAGAACTCAGGTGATCCGCCTAGCTTGGCCTCCCAAAGTAATGGGATTACAGGTGTGAGCCACCACGCCCGCCCAGGATGCATTTAATATTACCCAAAGCCCAGGATGCAGATGGAGTAGGTGGGGGACAGGTGAGTCCCCCTAGAGGAAAATTGGGGTGCTAGCTCAGTGGAACCCAACAATAGAATTCAGGAAGCATTCCTTATGCCAAATGTTTTTCTTTAAGCAGTTCCAAACACCAAAGGAGTTAAATAAACATTGTTAGTCATGTTCTGTCAGTGATAAATTGAAAGAGTGACGACAGCCTGCAGGTCACTGGCAAAGCAAACACCCACCCCGCTCGCCCTGAGTCTTTCACCTTTGCTCTCAGCATGAGATTTAACTACCTGCAAGTTGAGACAGAAGGGGTCATTTATTGAACAGACGGTTACTATAGCCAGCCACGCACACCGTGTCTGTAACATTCTCTTAGATCAGGAAATTGAAAGTCCTGGAAATTAAGGGGCAGACATAAAGATTGTGTAGCAGAGCGCAGGGCTGGGTCCCAAGCACCAGGGGCAGTGCCCCTCTGCCCAGATATTCTAAGCCTTTTAGGGCAGACATAGAACCCAGAGAAGTCCTCTGTGATGCCCACAGAGTTGCAGTCTTCACCTCCCTAAAAGGGGAAGTGGGATCCAGTCAAAAGGAAATCAGAAAGTTGGGGGTGGCCAGCTGTGGTGGCTCATGCCTGTAATCCCAACGCTTTTGGAGGCCGAGGCAAGAGGATCACCTGAGATCAGGAGTTCAAGATCAGCCTGGCCAACATGGTAAAGCCCCATCTCCACTAAAAATACAAACATTAGCCAGGTGTAGTGACATGCACCTGTAATTCCAGCTACTCAGGAGGTTGAGGCAGGAGAATAGCTTGAACCTGGGAGATGGAGGTTGCAGTGAGCTGCGATCACGCCACTGCACTCCAGCTTAGGTGACAGAGTGAAACTATGCCTTAAAAAAGAGAGAGAGAGAGAGAGAGAGAGAGAGAGTGGTAACTACAATGGGTCTTTCTGTTATTGTATTCTTCTCGGGTGTGTATGTGTGTGTGTGTGTGTGTGTGTGTCTGTCTGCATCTGTCTTCACTGCTGTATCATAAGTTCCTTGTGGATGGAGCTTTTATCTTAATTCTCTTTGTACACTGAGGGCTCAGTAACAGGGTGCCCAACTCCAAGATGCTCAATAAATGTGTACTGGACAGAACAAATGAACAGGGCGAGTAGGGACAGTGAGTTTCTTTGACCTGAACACAAGGAAGACTCAGTGCCACCCGACTGTCCTAAAAGCTAGACCCAAAACTAAGATGGTATCCAGTCTGTCCAGCACTAGAGTGGCCCAACTTTTATTTCTTCTCTTTATTTCTCCCATAAGGTGATGAGTCCTGAAGCTTAGCCTGTGTCTCTTTCCTCCTTCGAAGCTTTTCCCGGTGCTTTGCTCTGGCAAGACCTCGCTCCTGACTGCCAGCCGGGACAGCTGGTCCACCCCAGGCCAGGGAATAAACACCTCCCTTCCGTCAACACCCCACTGCCCCTACCTCTGTACCTTTGCAATCCGAGCTCCTCTCTTCCCTCCCCTCTCTTCGCCCCTCCTCGTCTCTCCCACCCCCTGCGGCATCGTGCTTGCATTTCCCAAGTGTGGAACTCACTTGGCCACCATGGTTCAGCCTGATCCTTCTGCATCAATGCCCTTCCTTGTTTCTCTAGATGTCTCCAGCCAGCTCTCCTTTTGGAGACAGTTCATCACCACCTCTTTCCAGAAGCGTTCCTATTCACCCCTTCCACCCTAGAGTGGAATTAGGAATCCCTTCTCTTCCTCCTTAAGGCCTCTGTATTTAACCAATGCAGCAGCAGCCTTTCTTGCATGGAAGGAAATTGTCTGCCACCCCATCTCTCTCCACTGCTAGATATTTTTTAATTTTTGAGAAGGAGTTTTGCTCTTGTTGACCAGGCTGAAGTGCAATGGTATGACTTAGGCTCACTGCAACTTCTGCCCTCCAGGGTCAAGCAATTCTCCTGCCTCAGCCTCCAGAGTAGCTGAAATTACAGGTGCCCACCACCATGCCTTGCTAATTTGGGGGGATTTTTTTTTTCTTTTTTTTTTTTTAGTAGAGACGGGGTTTCACCATGTTGGCCAGACTGGTCTCGAACTCCTGATCTCAGGTTATCCACTCGTCTTGGCCTCCCAATGTGCTGGGATTACAGGCATGAGCCACTGCACCTGGCCAGATATGAACATCTATCTTAATGACACAAATGATATCATTTGTTTTCATCTTTGCTGCATCTAAGAATGCCTGGCACACGGTAGGTACATAACAGATGCTTTATTTAATGAATGAATGCAAGTATGCACGTGACTGCTATGGGTACTCAACGCATGTTCACGGAATGATTAAATGAATGAATGAATGAATGGGTAGATGGATGGATGGGTGGATGATTCCTTCAACGCTTCTCTTTGCAGGGTGACCAACTATCCTAGTTTGCCCAGGACATGGGACTTCCAGTGCTAAACCCAGGCAAGTCTCAGGCAAACTGAGTTTTAGGGAAAAGCTGGCCACCCTACCCTACCTACCTCCATGACACCATGTAAAACTTTACTCCAGTCAACCTGGATTAAATCCTAGTCACTTGCTAATCTTGTATATTTTATGATTTCCTCATTTCACACATTTATGTCCAGTCTTCTAATTTTGCTTGAGAGCATAGATCTTTCCTTACAGTAATCCACAGTAACCCTTCAGAGCCACACAGAAACAGGCTTCAAAAGATCTTCATTATCATCATTGTTTAAAGTCCTGTCTAAATTCTTCATGTATGTTTTTTCTCTAAATCTCCCAGTGCCCTCATGAGGTAGAGACTCTCTTTGTCATTTCATGAGACTGGAAAAGTCTGGCATCTGAGTGACCGATCCAAGCTAGCACATCTAGGAAGTTGTAGGAATTAAAACTGGTATAGGCCGAGCGCAGTGGCTCACACCTATAATCCCAGCACTTTGGGTGCCTGAGGCAAAAGGATGTCTTGAGGCCAGGAGTTCAAGACCAGCCTGGGTAACATGAGGCACCATCTCTACAAGAAATTAAAAATTAGCCAGATGTGGTGGCAAGTGCCAGTAGTCCCAGCAACTTGGGAGGCTGAGGTAGGAGGATGCTTGAGCCCAGGAGGTCGAGGCTACAGTGATCACACCACTGCACTCCAGCCTAGGCGGCAGCATGAGACCCTGTCTCTAAAACAAAAACAAAACAGGCCTGTCAGAGTCTGAATCCTATGCTTAAGGGGCACCCAGGTTGGTCCCTCTTCAGCACCCAGGCCCAGATTCTGTAGCATGTGGTGGCTTCCCAGTACCACCCAGTATCATTGGGTCCCTGAATGCATGGCTGGATGAAAGTCCCATAGAGTGCTGTCCTCCAGGTGCTAGCCTGTGATCTTGAGCTCTAGAGAGAAGAGAATCAACACCACTCCCAAGTGGGGAGAAATTGTCACTCTCCAGCTCTAGAGATTTGGGCCAAATGAAAATGAAGGTCCCTCCCTCATGTCTAACAGTCCTGACAGCTCCCCCTTGGACACAAGAGCAGGGAAAACGCGTCCCCAAAGCCAGGAGTATATTTGTTTCCCAGGACTGCTGTCACAAAGTACTGTAAACTGTGTAGCTTAACACCACAGAAATTATTATGTCATGGTTCTGGAGGCCAGAAGTTCAAAATCAAGGTTTGGGTAGGGTTGGTTCCTTCTGGAGGTTTCTGGGGAGAGTCTGATCCAGGCCTCTCTTCTGACTCCTGGTGGCTCTAGGCAATCCTTGGCGTTCCTCTGCTCGTAGATGCTTCACTCCAGCCTCTACCTCTGTCTCCACCTGGCCTTGCCTCTTTTTGTTTCTGTGTCTTCTTTTTTTTTTTGAGGCAAAGTCTCACTCTGTCACCCAGGCTGGAGTGCAGTGGCTCAATCTCAGCTCACTGCAACCTCCACCTCCCGGGTTCAAACAATTCTCCTGCCTCAGCCTCCTGAGTAGCTGGGATTACAGGCATGCACCACCACACCCGGCTAATTCTCTTCTTATAAAGACACCAGTCGTTGGATTTAAGGCTCACCCTAAATCCAGGATGATGGCATCTGGAGATCCTTAACTAATTACGCCTATGTATTAGTCCATTTTACACTACTGATAAACACATACCCAAAACTGGGTAATTTATAAAGAAAAAGAGGTTTAATGGAATCGCAGTTCCACGTAGCTAGGGAGGCCTCACAATCACCATGGAAGGTGAAAGGCACGTCTTACATGGTGGCAGCAAGAGAGAATGAGAGCCGAGCAAAAGGGATTTCCCCTTTTAAAACCATCAGATCTCACGAAACTTATTCACTACCATGAGAACAGTATTAAGGGAAACCTCCCCCATGATTCAATTACCTCCCACTGGGTCCCTCTCACAACACGTGGGAACTATGGGAGCTACAATTCAAGATGAGAATTGGGTAGGGACACAGGCAAATCATATCGACCTACAAAGATCCTTTTTCCAAATAAGGTCACACACCAGCATTCTGGGTGGACATGAATTTGGGAGGGACACTGTACAACCCATTACAGAAGTTCATTACCTTGAAGGCCCCAGTGTCTGCTGAAAACATGACCACATTCCCCACTTCCCCAGGCCCTCCTTCCACAGGACATCTCTGCAACAGCTGCTGTGGAGGAGGCCACTGCCCTCACCCTGCATAGACCACCCCCACCCTCAACGCACACCCATTCTGCCCTGCCAGGGTCCTTGGAAGTCTGGCAGCTCCATGACAAGCCCCATGCACTGGTGGGAGATGTGGAGGAGGGGGGAGCCACTGTTGCAGAATCCCAGCATGAGAAGAAGGAAAGTGCTGACTTAAAAATTGAAACCCTGACAGATGTGGAGCTTTTTAACTCTGCGATGGGCCTGTTGGCGCTTGTCAGATTCTAGCACGTTTGCTAATGTGCATTTTCATCAAAGGAAGAGCCTGCTTAGAGATCCCATGGCCAGCCCAACCTCTTTGCTTCCACCTCCCTGCTTGGTTGTCCCTGCCTGTTCTCACCCTTCCCTCCTCCTCTGCCGTCCAGTCCCAGCCTTTCTTTGTTCCTGTCCTTTCCTCCCCTTCCCTTCCTCTGTCTCTGTGCCTCCTGTCATCATCCCAGGGCTCCCACCCCATCCTATCTTCCTTCTGTCTTTCCTCTCCTATTCTGTCTCCATTCTCTTCCTTTTCTTTCAGTTCAGCAAGACAAACATTTATTGCAGCCACTACAGAATTTCAGGAACTGAGCTCTCAGTGAGTGTCTCAGTCCATCTGAGCTGCTCTAACACAACTCCTCAGGTTGGGTGATTTATCAGCAATAGGGGTATATTGCTCACAGTTCTGGAGGCAGGGAAGTCCAAGATCAAGACGCCCACAAATGCTGTGTCTGGCGAGGGCTTGGTCTCTTCTTCCTAGTTGGGCCTTCTTGCTGTGTCCTCAGAGACTGGACAGGGCAAAAGGGTGAACAAGCTCTCTCAGGCCTTTTCTATGAAGGCATTAACCCTATTCACGAGGTCTCCACCCTCATGACCTAATCCCAAAGGCTCCACCTCCTAGGGTTCAATTTCAACATATGGATTTTAGGGGCACATAAATTCAGAACGTAGCAATGAAAGAAGAAACAAAGCAAGGCCAAGTGTGGTGGTTCACACCCATAATCCCAGCACTTTGGGAAGCTGATCACTTGAGGTCAGGAGTTGGAGACCAGCCTGGCAGACATGGCGAAACACCATCTCTACTAAAAACACAAAAATTAGCCATGCGTAGTGGTGTGCTCCAGTCGTCCCAGCTACTCAAGAGGCTGAGACATGAGAATGGCTTGAACCCAGGGGATGGAGGTTGCAGTGAGCCAAGATCACTCCACTGCACTCCAGCCCAGGCAACAGAGTGAGACTCCATCTCAAAAAAAGAGAAGGCAATAGGGCTTGTCCCTGCGGGATCACAGTTACCCGTTCCTGCCCTGCCATGTTGCTATCTTCTCTGGATCTCTTTCCTTTCTGAGCAGCTTGTGTTACAGGGTCTTGCTCTGTTGCCCAGGCTGGTCTCAAGCTCCTGGCCTCAAGCAATCCTTCTATCTCAGGCTCCCAAAGCACTGGGATGACAGGCGTGAGCCACTGTGTCCAGCCACTCTTTCTTCTTTCCCCTCCTCCCTTCATCTTCCTCCTTTATCCTGGGATCTTTTCTGTCTCCCTCATTTTTCAGGCCTGTTCAAATAACTCTTCCTTGCCCGTATTAGATGCTGGAGATGCAGACAAGAGTAAGATAAGTTTGCTGTCTCAAAGTCTCCTTTTCCCTCCCTCTCTGCTCCTTCTGTCCTCTCTCTACTTTTTTTTTTTTTTTTTTTTTTTTGGAGATAGAGTCTCACTCTTTCATCTAGGCTGGAGTACAGTGGCATGGTCTTGGCTCACTGCAACCTCCATCTCCTGGGTTCAAGCAATTATCCTGCCTTAGCTTCCCAAGTAGCTGGGATTACCAGCATGTGCCACCACATCCGGATAAATTTTGTATCATCATGTTTGCCAGGCTGGTCTCAAACTCCTGACCTCGAAGGATCCACTGGCCTCAGCCTCTCAAAGTTCTGGGATTACAGGCGTGAGCCACTGTGCCCCGCCTCTATTTCCTCTTTTCTTCCCTGTCATCCTTCCCTCTCACTCCCCAAAACCCTCCCATTGTTGTGCATTCCCTCGCCTATGCCAAGTCTCAGGCTTTAGCATCCTGTACAAGAAAGGCTATGTGCTAATTGCACAGCCCCCTCCGGCTTCCTCTGATGATGAGGCCAGGCCTCATACACCATGTTGCAGGCAGTGCTGGGGCCACCGGCCAGGAACAGCTGATGCATGTGGACAGACAGCCGATCCAAAAGGCCCCTGCTGTAGTGGCCCCGGGCCCAAAACTGCTGATTTGCTGAATATGTCTGAGTGCACAGGAGCAGTTCTCAGAGGCCTCAGCCCTGTGGGTGGCCAGGGAAGGCTGATGCAAGCAGACACATGATCAGTAGTAGAATGAGAAGTTCCCTGCCCTGGCTCTGAACTGGGCTGGCTGATTGGAATAGACATGCTGGGTCACTGGTTGGTTGAACCCCAGGGGTGTCCAGAGCAGATCAAAGGCAGAGGATGCCCAGGTGTTAAAACCGTGTTTAAAAAGGAAGTCAGGGCCAGGTGTGGTGGCTCACACCTGTAATCCCAGCACTTTGGGAGGCCAAAGCAGGGGGATCACTTGAACCCAGGAGTTTGAGACCAGCCGGGGCTCAACATGGCGAAATCCCCTCTTTACTAAAAATACAAAAATCAGCTGGGTGCGATAGTACATGCTTGTAGTCCCAGTTATTCAGGAGGAGGAGTTGGGAGAATCTATTGAGCCTGGGAGGCGGAGGTTGCAGCGAGCCGAGCTCGTACCACTGCTGGTACGACAGCCTCAAACTCCTGGGCTCAAGCGATCCTTCTACCCTAGCTCCTGGAGTAGCTAGGGCTACAGGCTCATGCCACCATGCCTGGCTGATTTTTTTTTTTTTTTAGTTTTTTTGTAGAGATAGGGTCCCACCATGTTGTCCAGCCTGGGTGACAGAGTGAGACCCTGTCTCAAAAAAACAAGGAAATCAGGGCTGGGGCTTCCTTTCCTGGGCTGGAGGTTTGCAGGACAACCCTGGATTGGGTTGTGGGTTTTTTTGTTTTTTTTTTTTTTGAATATTCAGGAGGTCAAAAAGAAGGCAGCTCTGGGTGCGAACTGTCGCTCTGCTGACTGTGGTGGATCCTCTCCTTCTCCCTGTAACCCCATGTTCCCAACATCTGTTCTACCCAACTGTTAACACCAGGCATGGAACTTCCATTCCCCTAGCCCATGATTGGTCACCGGTGACCACGTGATCTAGTGACCGGAAAGTCTGCGGGTCCTTTGGGAAAGCTTCATTCGTTTTAAGGAGGAGACACTGAACAGTCATCTCTGTCTGAATGAAAGGCTAGGAAGCGCTGCAGCCTTAAACAGAGTCGACCCCAAGGATGTTAGATCCAAGTTGTAAAGAATTCACAACGTTAATGATGATACCACGCAGCCATGGGCTGTATTATAGCTACATTGTGCCTTTCCTTGGATATTTTATTTACTTATTTATTTATTATTTTTTTTTTATTTTATTGAGACGGAGTTTCACTCTGTCGTCCAGGCTGGAGTGCAGTGGCTCAATCTCAACTCACTGCAACCTCTGCCACCCAGATACAAGAGATTCTCCTGCCTCAGCCTCCCAAGTAGCTGGGATTACAGGCACCCGCCACCAAGCTTGGCTAATTTTTGTATTTTCAGTAGAGGCAGGGTTTCGCTAGGTTGGCCAGGCTGGTCTCGAACTCCTGACCTCAGGTGATCTGCCTGCCTCTGCCTCCCAAAGTGCTGGGATTACAGGCGTGAGCCTCTGTGCCCAGCCAGATTTTTTTTAAATTGGAAATAAGGTCTCTGCTCTGTTGCTCATGTTGGGGTGCAGTGTTGTGATCATTTCTCCCTGCAGCCTCAAACTCCTGGGCTCAAGCGATCCTTCTACCCTAGCTCCTGGAGTAGCTAGGGCTACAGGCTCATGCCACCATGCCTGGCTGATTTTTTTTTTTTTTTAGTTTTTTGTAGAGATAGGGTCCCGCCATGTTGTCCAGGATGGTCTTGAACTCCTGGGCTCAAGAGGTCCTCTTGCCTCAGCCTCCCAAAGTGCTGGGATTGTAAGCATGAGCCACTGCGTACTGCCTGGATTTCTTACTATGTGAAGTAGTGATGTTTCTTACAACCATTTGACCCCACCTAAGTTTGATCTGTAACTTGCAGCCTGAAGCACTCTAAATAACTGACTAACATAGTATTTGCCTTCTCTGAGTATCATGTGAGATCATGCTGCTTCTTCCCTAGGATTGCTGTAAGAATTCATGAAATGATGCATTTAGCACAATGCCTGGCACGTAGGAAGCACTCAGGAAACATTATTGTAATTATTATTATTATTTGAGATGGAGTTTAGCTCCTGTCGCTCAGTCTGGAGTTTAATGGCACAGTCTTGGCTCACTGCAACCTCCATCTCTTGGGTTCAAATGATTCTCCTGCCTCAGCCTCCCAAGTAGCGGGGATTACAGGCGCGTGCCATCACGTCTGGCCAATTTTGTATTTTTAGTAGAGACAGGGTTTCACCATGTTGGCCAGGCTGGTCTCAAAGTCCTGACCTCAGGTAATCCACCCGCCTTGGCCTCTCAAAGTGTTAGAATTACAGGCATCAGCCACCACGTCCAGCCCATTATTGTAATTATTACTTAGCCATCAATACATTATTGTCAATACATTATAGTCAGTTAAATGTGGTAGTTGTTAATGCTGTTTGCCAAATAGCTCTGGTTCTCTCCCCTTCCAAGGATAATATGATTGTACTTCTTAATTACTTTTTGGGTAGGAGATGCCATGTGACTAATTCACACAGGCTGGGTCTGCTCCAACTGCAGCATCACCCTCTGCCGACTCACGCAGGCCATCATGGCCTGGCAGAGTGGGCAAAACGCTGCCTACTGCAGTGGCACTTGGGCAGAGGTGTCCCTGACGTAGCTGCCTCCAAGTGACCAACTCCAAGTAATCCAGCTTTCTCTCAACTCACACACACAGCCACATTCTCCCCAAGGCACCTACATGCCACCCACAGGCAGGTCCTTTAAGACCAGTGCAGCCTGGAGCTTCTCAGCCATGGTGGCTCTTCCCTGTATGAGTAATTCTTTCCGGCGGGACCCAAATTGCTCCTCTTGCAATCTGGCTTCCATAGGGTTGTACTGCAAATCTGGAGAACATGGATCTGTGCACAAGGCCCCATGGCAGACAGGGCCTTATCACCACTGGCTTGAAAGATGGGTGATTATGAAACAAACAAAATAATAAGTGTTGGCGAGGGTGTGAAGAATCAGAACCCTTGTGCGTTCCTTCCATGCTGCATTCCCATGTGTTACGCCTGTTACACTGCTGGGGGAATGTAACGTGTTGCAGTTGCTGTCAGAAGCAGTTTGGGTGCTGCTGAAAATGCCCAACATAACAGCTACCCTAAAACCCAGCAATCCTACTCGCAGATATACACCCAAGAGAATGGAAAACATATGTCCACACAGAAACGTGTACATGTAACAAGTGTATGTACGTCGTATTATTCACAAAAGCCAAAAGGGATATGTGACCCAAATGCCCATCGATGAGTGGGAAGATGAGCAAATTTTGGCACAGCCATACAACGAGGCACGACGCGGCAGTGAAGGAATTAAGTATTGACACGCGCCACGCCGTGGGGGAATCCAGCACCATCATGCTAAAGAAGTGAAGGAAGCCAGAAAGCAAAAGTTGCATAGTGTATGATTCCATTTCTAGGAAATGTCCAGCATAGGTAAATCCATAGAGACAGAAAGCATATGAGTGAGTGGTTGCCAGGGACAACAGGAAGAGAAGCAGAGACGAGAGAGGATAGGAGCATAGCCAGTGAATGAAAGAAAAATGGCGGGTTTAGGGTTTCCTCTTGGGGTGACTGACATCTTTTGGAACTTGATAGAGGTGGTGGTTGCAGAACCCTGGGAATGTGTTAAATGCCACTGTGTTGTACATTTCAACATGGTCTATTCTTTGTTGTTGTTTTTTGAGACCAAGTTTTGCTGTGTCACCCAGGCTGGAGTGCAACGATGTGATCTTGGGTCACTGCAACCTCCACCTTCCGGGTTCAAGGGATTCTCCTGCTCGGTCCCCACGTAGCTGGGATTACAGGTGAGCACCAGCACACCTGGCTAATTTTTGTATTGTTAGTAGAAGTTAGGTTTCACTACATTGGCCAGGCTAGTTTTGAACTCCTGACCTCAGGTGATCTGCCCACCTCAGCTTCCCAAAGTGCTAGGATTACAGGCATGAGCCCCCATGCCTGGCCAGCATGATCTATTTTGCTATTGCATTTTGCTCAAATTTTTTAAAAATCAGTAATTATGAATGGAGTGGGGAAGCATCAAGGAGGCGGGAAAGAGGAATGATGTCCGACTCCACCCCCAGAAACACCTAAACCCATTTCCTGCATGGCCCCGAACCCCTTTCTCCTAATGAGTGTCCAGCACAGAGTCAGGCACATAGTAGATGCTCAACAAGCAGTGCCCGTCCCCGACCCTGCCAGCTCCCTGTATAAAGGGAGAAAAAAAAAATCTCATAACCAGTGTAACTGCTGCACTTGAACCTTTGGACTGAATCACGTCTGTCGCTTAGGGAGGGTCGTGTTTGCCTTGCGCTCTGACCACAGCCTGCACTTTGAGCTCAGTGTTATCTGCGAGCCCTGCCAGCTTGTGAAAACTCTGCCCAGCTCCAGACCGTGCCGGCGGAATTACACGTTATGCTGGGTATCCCTGCAGTTTCAGAGCTGGCATCTTAATGAACTGTTGATTAGGGTCTTTCGGGCCTGGCTAGGATTCCACATTGGCAGAGAGAGCTCCAAGCTCCCCTGGTCACACCTCTCATCCTGGAAAGACCTGGTTCCAAGGCTGCTGGTCAGTCTCTGCCCCTTCGGGAAAGTTTTGTTCTCAGGCAGTTCCCGAGGGTCCCGGGGCTAGAAGCTATTCTTGCGGTGTTCAGGGGAAGTGGGGGCAGGAACAGCAACTGTGACTCTGCTCACCTCTGTCGCTCCCAACCAGAACATGAGCATCTGCTGCAGGCTGGGCACGGGCTGGGGTAGATGTAGAGATGAGTTGGCTGAATCTTACAGCCCAAGGAGCTCAGAGTTGAGGGAGGGAGGGGGAAGGAGAAACAGGCAATCGCCCCTGTAAGATACTCAGCAGGGACAGCTGCACAGTTTGCACAGCCTGGGGCAAAATGAAAATGCAGAGTCCCTGGTGCAAAAATGATTACAAAGTGCAAGTTGGTGACTGCAGAGCTTCAAGTGAGCATTACCCTTCTAAGCACCAGGCCCTGAGTGACTGCACTGGTCTCATGCCCATGAAACTGGCCCTGTATTCGTAGCACCTAACATGAGTTAAACACTTACCGTATGCCTGCAGCTGTAGAACTCAGGGTTTGGGAACACTGACTCTGGACCCAGACTCCTGGGTCAGATTCCAGCTCTGCCTCTTATTGAATTACCCAGTCTCTCCGCTCCTCAATTTCCTCATCTGTAAAATGGGAGCAATACTAATAAAGAGTGTAGGCTGTGTCTGGCCTGCAGTATCTGCTACAGAAGCGTTCACTGTTAGTGAATTTACATGTATGGATTCGGCTGATCTCCAAAGGAGTCTAAGAGGTGCTTGCTATTATTATTATTATTTATTTATTTATTTGAGACAGAGTCTTGCTCTGTCGCCCAGGCTGGAGTGCAGTGACACAATCTTGGCTCACTGTAACCTCTGCCTCCCAGGTTCTTATCCTCTCAAGTAGCTGGGATTACAAGCACGCACCACCACACTCAGCTAATTTTATATTTTTAGTAGAGACAGGATTTCCCCATGTTGGCCAGGCTGGTCTCAAACTCCTGACCTCAGGTGATCCAGATGCCTCAGCCTCCCAAAGTGCTAGGATTACACGGGTGAGCCACTGCATCTGGCCAGTAGATACTATTATTATACCTGTTACTAGGTAGGGAAACCAGTCACGTTACATTGGGTAATTTAACCTCAGTCATTCGGAGGGGAGGCGTGGATTTGAACCTAAATGCTCCCGCAGCTGGGCTGGGGCCACAGTGTTGTCATGTGAGAAGGAGAACAGGGTGAAGGAGCACAGAGAGGCAGGTATTGTGTCCACGCTGTGGGGCACAGGACGCTCCCTAGCTCCACCCCTACTGCCACCACCCGCCTTGTGCTATGCCTGGCTCCCAGTCTATGTTCACGAAATGCAGATGAAATTGAAGAATTGGTTTTGTGGACAAATCTACTTTATGCCTGGCACTTTCATATGGCTTCGTTCACCTCCCAGGTGTGTTTGATTATTTCCATTTTACACATGGGGGTGTTAAGCTCAGCCCTAGGAGAAGTCTTTAGACTAATGTTACCCAGCCTGGAAGTGGTGAGTCGGAGAATGCCCTTCTGACTCGCTCAGATTCCAAACCCTGGCTCTTTCCAGCCCAGCCCACGTCCCTCCAGAAGCTGTGCCCAGAAACATGCATGGTTGGCATTGCTGAGCTTGGGAGACCTGCACAGCCCAAATTCCATGAAAAGCCACCTGCACTGCATTAGAAGTGCAGAAAGGATGAAAGTGAAAAGTAAAATGTAGATTTCAGCACAAAAAAGCCAGGAGAGACTTCATTATGTGCCCCTAGGCAGTAGGGATCCTCTCCTCTCTCCCGGCCCCAGGCAGACAAAATAGCTAAACCACCCAGGATATGTCCTGACTGAAGATCTGCTCACCCGTCACTCTGTTATCCTGTGCTTCGTGGCCTCTGGACAGGAACCCCCAAAATCCAAATGAGCAAGGATGGCAACGTTGTCACTGAGGGCTTGGCAAAGTGCTTGCAGGGATCTCCGGAGAAGGCTTTTTCCTGACAGCCTCCTCAGATGTGTGGATTCTTACTGTGAAACCCCCAAGGCTCAGCCCCACCTTTAGAGACTCCCTGAGTGAGCTTCGGGTGGAGGGGTGAGTTTAGCGGTAGCAGTGGATCCTTTCCAGATGCCGGGCTCCGGGCCTTGCAGGCAGCCCAGCTGGTCAGTGGCTCCCTGTCACTTGTGTGCCACCAGAGGTAGAGGGACAGGGGGAAAGGGGCAAGAGTCTACTCTGAGCCAGGGACTTCCAGGGAGATCCTGAATAGTCCTGCCCCAGACAGCTGGAAGTAGCTATGCACACATGATGATTTATTTTCCTTTTTTTAAAAAATTAACTTCTTTCTTTCTTTTTTTTTTTTTAGAGACAGGGTTTTTCTATGTTAGTCAGGCTGATCTCAAACTCCCGACCTCAGGTAATCCACCTGCCTTGACCTCCCAAAGTGCTGGGATTACAGGCGTAAGCCGCCACGCCTGGCCTATTTATTTATTTTTGAGACACGGTCTTGCTCTGTCACCCAGGCTGGCACCCAGTGGCACCCTCGCTCACTGCAGTCTTGAATTCCTGGGCTCAAGCCATCCTCCCACCTCAGCCTCCCAAGTAGCTGGTACTATAGGTGCACACCACCACACCCAGATAATTTTTATTTTTATTTTTTTGTAGAGATGGGTGGGGAGGGTCTCGCTGTGTTTCCCAGGCTGGTCACAAACTCCTGGCCTTAAGTGACCCTCCCATTTTGGCCTTCCAAAGCACTGGGATTATGAGTATGAGCTGCTGTGGCCAACCCAATTTACTTTTTATTTAAATATAATTTCAGACTTAGGAAAAAGTTGCAAGAACCACACAAAGAATTCCCACGTACCTTTCACCCAGCTTTCCCGAATGTTATCACATTTCCACTTTGCTGAATCCTTCCCCGCTACCTGCCGCCCCCGCCTCTGTAGATATAGTTATAAAGAGGAGAAAAATGCTTGTTTTTTCAGATATAACACCTCTTTACTGCAAAATACTTCACTGTGAATTTCCTAAAAACAAGCAACATTCTCTTACAAAATCACGATACAATAATCAAAAGCAAGGAATGAGCACTAATACAGCATTACTGTACAATCTACAAACTTCCCCCGGGTCTCCCCATTTGTGCTAATGATGTCCTTTGTCACCAAAGGAAGCCCCAGATGTCATATGGCATTTCGTTGTCCTCTCTTTTGCTTTCTTTAGTCTCAAACGATTTCCGTGTCTTTTTATGTCTTTCATAAAATTGACATTTTTCAAGAGCACAGGTCAGAGATTTTCTAGAACATCCCTCAATTTGGGTTTGCCAGCTGTTTCTTCACTGGTAGACTGAGGTGACGCGCTTTCATTCACAGTGCATGCTATCAGGTGACACATGCTGTCGATTTGCCTCATTCTGGGTTGCTAACTTTGATCACCAAGTTGAGACTCTCTATTCTTTTAAGCTAAACACAAAACAAAACAAAACAAAACCAGAGAAGTCTGAATTCTAACGATACCCCAAATCCCAGCTCAGAAGCCATAGACCACCCTGTCCCCAATTTTTCTGCTCATTACAGAAGAAAAGTTAAATGTATCAGTTATCTATGGCTGTGTAACAAACCACCCCAAACACTCTGTGACTTAAAATAACAGTGACGTTATTGCTGATGGCTCTGTGAGCCAGAGATATAGGCAGGGCCCCGCTGGGCAGTTCTTCCACTTTACATGGTATCGTCTGGTTTCACTCATGTGGCTGCAGTCACCCTGGGGCTTGGCTGGAGCTGGAAGACCCAAGATGACCTCACTCACATGCCTGGCACTTGGTTTTGGCTGTCAGCTGGAGTGCTTGGTCCTCCATGTGGCCTTTCCAGAAGGATAGCTGAGGCTTCTTTACATGGTGGCTGGGCTCCAAGAAAGTGAAAATAGAAGTGCAAGGTCTGGAAGTTGCCCAGCCTCACTTTTCCTGAGTTCTGTTGCTAAGAGTAAGGCATCAGGCCAGCCCAGATTCAAGGAGAGGATAAGGAATTCTTCCTTTGGATGGGAGGAGTAGCAAAAGCTACTGCAAAAGAGCATATGAGATGCAGTCTTTGGAAATGATCTACCTCAGTTAGGGATACAGCATACTAAGTGTGTCTGCCTACCCACTCAGGGTAAACTACTTTTGT